ATATATGCAGTGTGCATATACTTAACAGTGCTTACTGTCCGTTTAAAATTGTGTCGATATGGAAGATTTCATGCGTTTATTTCTCTCTCTTTTTTTTAAACTGTAATAAAAGAAAACCTTTTATTTTCAATTATGGTCTTTCAAACAATAATTTCAGAGACCAATTATGGTCTTTCAAGGTCTTTCAAACCTTTCAATTATGAAAATGAGAGAAATGAAGAGGGCTTAGAGCATATATCCATTCTATGTCCACCGTGTTCCTACCGTTTCAGCTGGTTTTGAGAAACATGGTATTATTCCACAATCAAAGAGAGACTACACGTAAACGTATATAGGTCCATTTTTAAAGGTCTAGTTAGAGATAGATAAAGAATTTGACACAAATAAGGAAGAAAATACAAGTGCTCTTACTTGTGCACTGCCAACCCCCTTTTTAGGAAGCAGCAATGCTTTTCAGGAAATTTAATTTTTTCAGTCCAGCTAGCTGAAAGTGAGGGACACTTTTCTTCCAAACACCTGCTGTGCCAGGTTGATAGAATTGCTAGGGTAGTAACATTGTTTCCATAGGTCAGCCTGGTTGAACAATGAAGTGGGAATGGATTTGCTTGCTTTTGTTTATTTAAAAGATATATATTTTATATTGGAATATAGTTAATTTGCAATGTTGTGTCGATTTCAGGTATACAGCAAAGTGATTCCATTGTACATATACCCATTCGTTTTCAAACTCTTTCCCATGTAGGTTATTATAGAATATTAAGTAGAGTTCCCTGTGCTACATAGTAGGTCCTTGTTGGTTATCTATTTTATATATAGTAGTATATGTATGTTAATCCCAACTGCTAATTTATCCTTCCCTACATCTTTCTCCTTTGGAAACCATAGATTTGTTTCTGACACCTGTGAGTCTGATTCTGTTTTGTAAATAAATTTATTTATATCTTTTTTTTTTTTTTTTAGATTCCACATGTAAGTGATGTATGGTGCTCTTCTTTCTCTGTCCTACTTTACTTAGTACGGTGATCTCTAGGTCCATCCATGTTGCTGAAAGTGGCATTGTTTCACTTTTTATGGCTGAGTAATATTCCATTGTATATATACACTATATCTTCTTAAACTGATCATCTGTTTATGGTCACTTGGATTGTTTCTGTATCCTGGCAATTGTAAATAGTGATGCAGTGAACATTGGGGTGCATGTATCTTTGCAAGTTAGACTTTTTGTCTTTTCCTGATGTAAGTCCAGAGGTGGGATTACAGACAGGATCATATAGTAACTGTTTTTTTTTTTTTTTTTTTTAAGAACTTTCACACTGTTCTCCATCGTGGCAGTACCAATTTCCATTCCTATCAGCACTATAGGAGGGTTCCCTTTTCTGCACGTCCTCTCCAGCATTTATTGCTTGTAGACTTTTTGATGGTAGTTACTTGTTTTTTATCCTATGACAGAATCTCAATTTCAGTTTCAATCCTTCCCTCTCTGTTCTCTTGTGGTTGCTCTCTTGTCTTCTTTTAATTAACTATTAGAAAACCTTGAATTTGAATCTTGTTTTTCCTGTAGGAAGACCATGTTATCCAGGGTTTTCAGAACCCTAGCTGGATAGCATGGTGCATATTTGTCTGAAGACATTTTTTTACAACCAACTTGTCCTCTTGTCTTACATCTGATTCCTGTGCCTGTCTCCTTGACATTGATATGTATGCCATGACCAAAGTTGTATCTCAGCCACTATCTTGGACTTTTAAGGGTAAATCCAGTCTGTTCTCAAGGCTTTTCTTCCTTTGAATTTGCTTTGCAGATAGTTTTATTTGCCTTTTTAGTTCTTCTCAACAGTATTAAATCATTAAGCTTTACAAAATTTATAAGATCGAGGATATGATCTGTCTTGGTCACCTCTGCATCCTCCAAATCCAAAGCAGTGCCAGGCACATAACAGGTACATGGCAGATGTTTGTTAATAAATGAATACGTAAGTAAATATAAACACAAAACTTTGGATTTTCTTAATTTTGTGTTGGACTTTAATGATGGTTTCACTTTAAATTTGTGTCCTCTAAGAAAAAGCCAGAAATTTCATTTTTAAAGATGTTTGATTATATATAATCTCTTCTTCCTTTGCTTTTATATAAAAAATAAATGAAAATACCAAGTATCTTCTTTATTTCTTTTAAAAACTGAAATTCTGTATCCTCCAGAATCTTTCTCTAAGGCTAACGTTGAAATGATTAAACACATTATGCTGATCATCAGTTTTTACTTTTATCTTGATGAAAGCTTGTGCTTACAGTAGTTTTTCTCCTAACAGTATATGTCAGAGTAGCCATGCTGAGCAGGGGAAGCTGAGGTGCTGGCAGTAATTGACTCAGCATTGATTGATAGATAGGTAGATAGTTGTCTTGGTTGGAACAAACTAATGTTATCCCTTATTTTTCAGCCAGCAAGCAACTCAGCTAATTAGTACCAGTATAAATGGAGATGTTTATTACTATTTAATCTTATCTTCACAATGTTTTTGGTAAGCTTTTATGCTCATAGGTGGGAGAGGAAGCATAGCTTTTTAGTTTATATTTCACCCAACAAAATGCATTAAAGACATATGATTTGATGATGTTTTATGTGATTTCATATTGATTTTTGTAGCCCTGCCACAAGAAAGAAAAAGAAAATTTTTTCCCTTAGTGGTCACTGGGTGATATGTTCTTTGAAGCTGATTTGATTCACTAGATTTAGAGAGAAATGTAACTATAATGAGCTCTCCATGGAACATTCATAGAGGGTTGAAATAATTGTCACTGAGGTATTTAGAGTTTCTAAAAAGATTATAAAAGTTTTTATATACATATATAATATTACTATTATAAAAGAGTACTTCTAAACAACTTCAAACTAAAGTTGTATGTACCAAAGTATTATTAACATAGCACAACCACAGAGCAACCTAACCCTCTTGAATAGAGAAATTTTATTTAAACAATATCTATGTCAGAACTATTTTATGTGCTTTATGTATATTATGTCATTTAATTTCTAGAATAAATACACAAACTCAGTATAGTCAAGCCTGCTGCTAAGTCACTTCAGTCATGTCCGACTCTGTGTGACCCCATAGATGGCAGCCCACCAGGTTCCCCATCCCTGGGACTCTCCAGGCAAGAACACTGGAGTGGGTTGCCATTTCCTTCTCCAGTGCATGAAAGTGAAAAGTGAAAGGGAAGTTGCTCAGTCGTGTCCGACTCTTAGCGACCCCATGGACTGAAGCTTGCCAGGCTCCTCCGTCCATGGGATTTTCCAGGCAAAAGAGTACTGGAGTGGGCCTACTCATGATGAAAAAGTTGAATTCCTAGAATTTAAGTCATTTTTCAAAGGTCATATGACTGGTCAGCATTGGAGTCCAGATCACAGTGATCATTCCCCTAAGCCACTCAGTGGATGGTCCACAGCCAAGGAGGTTAGAAGCAATGAAGTGACTTACAAAGTCCAACATGGAAATAAGCCAGTGATAAGTGGAAAAGTTGGATAAAAACTTGCATATGTGGTGCAGTTACAACTTAGTTAAAGTGTGTTTGAATAAAAAAATCAGAGTAAATTAAATATTATAGAGGTTTGCATGCTTGTATTAGATTGGTGGAATTTGGGGTGGTATTTTTCCTTTATTTTCTAGATATCTTTCAAATTAAAGTTTTTTTAAAATTTATTTATTTTAATTGGAGGCTAATTACTTTACAATATTGTAGTGGTTTGTGCCATATATTGACATGAATCAGCCATGGATTTACCTGTGTTCCCCATCCTGATCCCCCCTCCCACCTCCCTCCCTATCCCATCCCTCTGGGTCATCCCAGTGCACCAGCCCTGAGCACCCTGTCTCATGCATCAAACCTGGACTGGTGATCTGTTTCACATATGGTAATATACATGTTTCAGTGCTATTCTCTCAGATCATCCCACCCTCGCCTTCTCCCGCAGAGCCCAAAATTCTGTTCTTTACCTGTGTCTCTTTTGCTGTCTCTCATATAGGGTCATCATTACCATCTTTCTAAATTCCATATATATGCATTAATATACTGTATTTGTGTTTTTCTGACTTACTTCACTCTGTATAATAGCCTCCAGTTTCATCCACCTCATTAGATCTGATTTAAATGCATTCTTTTTAATAGCTGAGTAATATTCCATTGTGTATATGTACCACAACTTTCTTATCCACTTGTCTGCCGATGGATATCTAGGTTGCTTCCATGTCCTGGCTATTATAAACAGTGCTCTGATAGACATTGGGGTACATGTGTCTCTTTCAATTCTGGTTTCCTTGGTGTGTATGCCCAGCAGTGGGATTGCTGGGTCACATGGCAGTTCTATTTCCAGTTTTTTAAGGAATCTCCACACTGTTTTCCATAGCGGCTGTACTAGTTTGCATTCCCACCAACAGTGTGAGAGGGTTCCCTTTTCTCCACACCCTCTCCAGCATTTATTGTTTGTAGACTTTTGGATAGCAGCCATCTGACCTGTGTGAGATGGTACCTCATTGTGGTTTTGATTTGCATTTCTCTGATAATGAGTGATGTTGAGCATCTTTTCATGTGTTTGTCAGCCATATGGGCTTTCTATTCTGTTCCATTGATCTATATTTCTGTCTTTGTGCCAGTACCGTACTGTCTTGATGACTGTGGCTTTGTAGTAGAGCCTGAAGTTAGGCAGGTTGATTCCTCCTTCCAATCTTCTTTCTTAAGATTGCTTTGGCTATTCGATGTTTTTTGTATTTCCATATAAATTGTGAAATTATTTGTTCTAGTTCTCTGAAAAATACCATTGGTAGCTTGATGGGGGTTGCATTGAATCTATAGATTGCTTTGTCAAATTAAAATTTTAAAATGTAGTAACTGTAGCATCAGTTCAGTTAGCCAATCAGGGTATCTAAATCTATGAATATTTTCATTATGCTTCTGAAAGATTGCCTGGTCATTTAGGCTTATATTGATTTTTTTTTTTTAAATTCTAGATCATCAAATTATTGGATGGAAAACGATCTCAAACTGTGGGAATCTTGATCTCTAGTTTGCATTTAGAAATGAAGGATATCCAGCAGGGTAAGTCTTATTCATACTTTTTTACCTCGACTTTAAAACTTTTCAGCTTTTTTGTGAGAAATGTCAAACATACACAAAAATAGACTGGCCACAGTGAATACTATGTATCCAGTACCTAGAGGCAAAATCATTAGCTCATTAACTAGATTGTTTCATCTAAAACACTCCATCTACTAGCTTATTATGAAGCAAATCTCAGATATTTTACAATTCCTCCTTTAAAAATGGTAATATACCACAAAAAGATAAGCATAACTCTAAGCATACTTTAAGCATAACTCTAGTGCCATTATCATACATTTAAAATAATTTGCAATAATTTCCTAATGTCATCAAGTATGAGGATTCATACACATTTCATGCATTGCCTTGAATGTGTCCATCTCTTAGGTTTCTTTTGATATAGAGGTTTCTATCCTCTATTTTTTTTTCTTTGCAGTTATTGTTTTTGCAAAGAACCCAGATCACTTGTTCTGTGAAATTTCCCACATTTTAGGTTTTGCTGATTGCATTGCCATGTTTTTATTTATTATGTTCTTCTGTCTCCTGTGGTCCCTGCAAACTTTTACTTATCCATATGGCAATCTGATGTACACCACAACACGACAAGCCTAAAGAGAGTTAATCTCAGTGGAGAAAAAATAATTCATAGATGCTACTGTATCAAGAAGTACGTAATATTCTGTAATATGACATAATGTTCTCTTAAGTATGTAATATTCTCTTTATGATGTTTGTGGGCACTAATGATCTTTGCCTAGGTTCATTATTTCATTAGAAGTTTGCCAAATAATGATCTCCTAGTCCCCTCGTTTCTTCTTTATTAGCGGGAATGCCTCTACAGAGAAACAGTCTCCATTTTCATACATTCAGTTATGTCATTGTTTCTTAGTCCCCTGCTTTTTTTTTTTTTTTTTTTTTTTGTGAGTGGCACTATTTCACCTTGGTTATCTTTGGCTCAATTTGAAAGACATTTAAAGCAAGGACATTTTACTTTTATATATATTTTAGGCCCTGGGAAAGTAAACCCAAAATCTTCTGACATTTTTTTAAATCTGTGTCTTACATGAAGATATTCTGCTCCTTTCTCAGCCATCAGTTAAATGTAGATCTTCATTTTGACATATCACTGATAATATTTTCTAAGTGGTAATACAATGGTGGTTTCAGGAAATTTAGGTTCAGTGTAACAGTGGAGACACTCTTAAGTCATACTTCTCTTCAGGTTTTAGTTGATGATGTCTTCAAGTTATCTCTAGGACACAGCAGAAGGTCCCCACCCCTCCCCCCCAGAGGTCCTAAACTGAAAGGCACTTAGGAAACTTGCATACGTTATTTTTCCTCTGGAATAAGCTTTGTTAAAGGCTTAAAATTTTGCTTTATTGCAAACATTTACAATTCCACATAAAACTAAACGTATACTGAATCAGATGACAGTTGCAGAATATTCAAATAAACTTGTCTTTACTATTTTAGCTTAGTAGGAGCACTGAATACATAAGTGTGAAATGTTAAACCTCAAACAGCGTTGCAGTAGTTGATTTGAGACTGGAGCAGAGGGTGGCTGGGAAGGTCCACTGTCACAGTTAGAAAAGGATACGTCAGTGGCTTTAGGTCTTAGATCCTCTAGGATGGAATTTCTGAAATTCACACAGAAAACTGTGATACTAAGCAAATGAAAAAAATAAAAAATATTGGCAGGTAAGTTTGTAATCTTTTGTCAAGGAGACTCCCTTTTTTGATGCGATCATTGAAATTAGAAAGGAATTTTTCAGACATAGTGGCAGAGTCTTATCCTAAACCACAGTGCTCTTTATAAGCCTGGTGAAAATCAAATATGCTTGGTTTCATTACCATAACAAGTAGCACCGTGGATATTAGTCTTTACAATGTCAACGGCACTTTATTCATTTCTCTTTAGGCTTGTCGTGTCGTAGTGTACATCTGATTGCCATATGGATAAGACTCATTCCAACAATGTGCTATTCCAGTTATCAACTCAGGACTGTAAACCTTCTTCCCTTGGCACTCTTAACATTGAATGTTGAATGAATGTTGAATGTTGACTGTTCATGGTGAGTTGAATAAGAGATTAGTTCACCCAGGCCTTTTTCAACATTCTACTCTGGATAGGAATGTGCGCTCATGAAGTAGACGTGAATTTAAATTTTAGCACTGGAAATGTTGATTGTAGCATCACAGACTTCAGGACTCATGGGCACCATTTTAGTTCTTTCTCTTGCTTCAAGCATCTCTGTTATCCACCAGAGTTGGATCCTAAATTCTAAAAAACAATTATCCCCACTTCATGTTTTCATTTAGTAATACATTCCAGATGAATATAACAGTATAACTCTAGCTTAATTTCTTTTTAGAGTCATTTGACTGACACTGGCATCTGAAGGTCACCCAGGAGCCTGAGCGGTGTCAGTGACGTTTTATTTGGAATCCGTGTCTGGTCATGAATGGAATGCACTTGGCCTTGTGTTCTCATCCTGATGAAGGACTCCTTGTGCTGACCTTGACCTAAAACATTTGTTTTAATGTGAGAGAAGTAGCTGTCATGAGATCGGATTGGAGCAGACCAGCTGGCAAGCAGGCAGGGTCACACAGCATGTTAACCATGGTGAAGTGACCACAGCTAAGAGACTGTTCTTCAGTCTTTTGGTCATATATTCAGCTCCGTCAGTATGCAGAGGCAGGTACACTAATGTGCACTTCATGCAGACTCATAAGAAGCTGATGAATAAACCAGAAAGCTAGTATATTCGCTCAAAGGAGGATAGAGAATTTTCCTTCAGCCTGACAAGAATGTTTGTAATATCTATTCACTGTTACACCCACCTCACTTATCTCTACTTGGTGTTAGATATTTGCTTACACTGTTTCTCTTCTTGCTGAGATTGCAGCTTGGTCACCTTAATAATAGTTCTGGGTGTTTCAGCCCACCATTACCTCCCACAGAGGTAATGGATAATCCAGTTTTTACTTGTTCAGCTCTTAAAAAGCAACCTTATTTTCTTCATTTGTAAAATGGGCCCTTCTCTGTTTTCCGTTTGACACTGCCTGTAGTGTATATTGAAGAAGTGGAATTTGGGGGCTCAGTACCTCAAGGTCTTAACTGATAACAAATAACAGAGCCAGTGTGTGGTCCTTTACTTCATGTAGCATTACTTTACTCAGAATTTCTCTGATAATTAAGCATTGTTTACCGCGAACTGGGCTAATGTATCCTATATAGAAGTCATTCAATAAAGGATCTTTTAAATTTTAATTTGGTTTTAAAGAATAGAATAAACCTTAGACTAGATGAAATCAGAATGTCATAAATTTCATTCTAGTGCATTTGGACCAAACTTCTTCCTGCCTGCCAACCTCCTCCCTTCCTCTTTCCCTCTCTCCCTCAATAAGCAGGTACTGAATGCCAGCTCTGTTTCAGACACCATGACTACCACAGCACATAACATCCTGAATTTCACATTCTCAAGAGTTCACAGGATGGTGGGAGAGAGGTACAGAGTATCCTAAGATGTCAGAATAAAGATACCTGTGAAATAACAGAGATCAATGTATTGGCTCCTCCTGTAAAACTTAAGATGAGTCTTAGAGGATGAAATGGTGGTCCTCACACAGAGAAGGAGCTTTTCCAGTTGATGAAAGAAGGCATGTGAAAAGGCAGCACATCTAGAGTCTATAAGTTGCATGTGAATGTGGGTGGTTTCAGAGCAAAGTACTCGAAGGGTAAATAGTATCCACACCAGGAAGGATCCTGACTGTCATCAGATGGAACTTGAACATTATCCTACCAGTAACAGGGAGGCAGAAGTTAAAAGGGGCAGTGCTGTGGTCTCCTTTCAAGAGCAGAAATACTTCTCCGATCACAGAAGACGCCCCCACGCCCTTTCATGCTCTGGCAGCAGCCGTATCTTCTCCTGTACTTGACTGCCCACTTCTCTCTCACTGCTGTCCAGCATCAGTGGTCCTCTGATTCCTTAACAGGCCAAGTTCTTTCCTTCCTCCGTGTCTTTGAAGGCACAGTATGTTCCCTCTGTTTGAAATGCTTTTCCAGTCCCATTCAATAGCACACTTTTTCTTTGCTCCTAAGTCGCTTCAGTTGTGTCTGATTCTTTGCAACCCTATGGACCATAGCCCACCAGGCTCCTTTGTCCATGGGATTCTGCAGGCAAGAATACTGGAGTGGGTTGCCATTTCATAGGGTTCAGCTAAACATCTCAAAGAGGTCTTCCCAGATCCTCCTCCCTAATTTAAGTCACTCTAAGTTAATTATCTTATTTTCTACCCAGCACTTGATATTTTCTTTGTTCATATACTTCTCACTTACATCTGCCATCAGAAGATAAACCGCAAGAGCGATAATACTCACTGATGTGTCCCTCACACCTTGTTGTGTCTGGCGATGAGATGAGGATCATCAAGGGTCTGTTGAATGAATAAACAGAAATAGTCATGTAGGTGACTAGATCTAGGCTTCCCAGGTGGTGCTGGTGATAAAGAACCTGTCTTCCAATGCAGGAGACGTAAGAGGTGCAGGTTCGATCTCTGGTTTGGGAAGATCCCCTGGAGGAGGAAATGGCAACCCACTCCAGTATTCTTGCCTGGAGAATCCCATGGACAGAGGAGCCTGGTGGGCTATAGTCCATGGGGTCACAAAGAGTCAGACATGACTGAAGCAACTTAGCACGTATGCATGGCTAGATCTGATAGAAAGGGATTATAATTGTTGACATGATAAATGACAAAGGTCAGAACTAAGGCTGTCTGTGGAAATGTAGATGAAACCATGTACAAGGGATGTTTGAAGAGCAGATTGTTATGGTTAGCCCCATGAGATTCGTATGATGATGGAGAAGTTTGGAGTTGCTGGTTTCAACAAGAATGGGAGTAATGGTGCCAAAAGCATAAAATGAAAATAGAAGGGGAAAAGAGCGGGTAGAAGCTGAAAGATCGATTCTGTTTTGCATGATTTGAGTTGGAGATGA